TTAATCCTTAAAGTAGTATAAAGAAGGTTTTCCTGGAATGACCAGTGATCGTCTATCTAATAGTTCAAAGAAAAAAAACAAAAAACAACTTTTGTAGCTGCTAACTTTCGCCTTATTCCCGCGGACATAAGATGAATAGAGAAAGAGATGTTAAGCAAAATGTCGTTTCTTCTTCCGACCATTTCTGTCTATATTAAAAGTCTGGGAAGAAGGTAAATAGAAGAATTTAATTGAATTATGGCTTTTAGATTTATACAATCTATCGTTTATACAGTCTTTGAGAGTGTATGTTCGTTTCTGTCTTTGACATTCGAAAGCTATCTGAAACAAAAACAAGTATTCCTTCTTTATAATTGTTTCACCTCAAGTAATGTGATTCTTTTTTCCGTGTCCCTTCAGGACGTAGGCCATCATGGTCCTCCACTTCTCCCCCCCCTTGTAGCTTTAATAAGTTTAGTCTTTTTTGGTATTTCCCCTAAACCCTGTTCTGCCATCCATCAAGTATATTACGCACTGCTGTCGTCTGAGTACCCGACATTCCAAGCCCTCATTAGTCATTATGTACCCTAGAAATCTCAACTGTCTCTTCCTAACGTTAAGTATAAGTTTTCTTTTTATTTCCATTCTATCCCAAACATCGTTGTTACTGACATGTTCGGTCCATGGTATCCTCAGCATCATGTTATAGAGTTATATTTCTGTTGCTTCAAGACTCTTCTTCATCTGTGAGGAGTTTGTCCAGCATTCGCTGCCATACAGGAAGACTGATATTACATAGCAGTTCAGAACTCTTTTCTTTGTTTCTCTTGCTTCAAGTTACTTCATCTGTGAGGAGTTTGTCCAGCATTCGCTGCCATACAGGAGGACAGATATCACGTCAATTCAGTACACCTTTTCTTTGTTTCCAACGAAATTTTCCTGTTTCTTAATACTGTAGTCTGGCTTTTGGAAGTCATCTTTGGCCATCCCAATACGTCTTCGGCTCTCAGTGTCGTACTTTCGTAGCTTAATCGTTATTTATAATTCAAAATTTGAACAAACCAAATTTACCCAAAATTTGCTTGCTCACTTAACGAAAACTAGAAATTCAAACAGAACATGATGTAAATTGCTTACCTACTGTAAGTTGCTTGTTCTCTTAGAACACATCGCAGATATTTAAATTTCTGTACATGTTTGATTTTAGTATCCCCGATTCGTAATTTGCATTTTAGTCTCATCCTTTTGCTGATAACCATGTATTCTGTCTTCTTGTAGATTATACTTAATCCTTTCTTCTCACTCTCCTTCGCTATCTTTTGTGGGAGGTTTTCTAGTTTCATTTCCATGTCTTATATTGTTAATGATGAATCCTAATCTTCTTTTATGTGCCATGTCACTTCAGGACGTAGGCGATCATTGCTCTTCACTTCCTCCTTTTCATTGTACCTCTCAATATGTTATGTCTTTTTGTTATTTCTCCCCGAACCTGTCCTGTCATCCACTTGTTTAAGCCTGTATAAGTATATTACGGGTTGCTTTCCTTTGTTCATTTTCCTTTTACCCGCCCTGTGAGCGACAGATTTTCCAAACCCTCCTTGATGATTATGTGTCTTCAGATGCTTAAGTATAAGTTTCCTCTTTGTTTGCATCCTCTCCAAAGGCTCATCTTTCCTCACATGTTCGGTTCATGGTATCCTTAGCCTCCTTCTGTGGAACCATACCTGTGTTCCCTCAAGTCTCTTCTTAATCTTTGAAGAGATTGTTCAATATTCGCTGCCGTAAAGGACGACAAATATCACGTAGAAGTTCAATACCCTTTCTTTTCTTACCAACGAAATCCTCCTGCCTCGTAATACTCTGCCTAGCTTTTGGAATGCGTCTTTCGTCATCCCAATACGTCTTCGGATCTCAGCGTCGCACTTACCGTCCTTTGTCAGAACAGTTCCTAGATATTTAGATTTCCACACCTGCTTGATTCTAGTGTCCCCTGATTTGTAAATCGCATTTCAGGTTCATCTTTTTACTGATGACAATGCATTCTGTCTTCTTGTAATTTATGCTTTGTCCCTTCTTCTCGCTCTCCTTCGCTACCTTCTGTAGGAGGTTTTGTAGTTTCTTTTCCGTGTCTGCTATCAGTAATGTGTCATCTGCGTATCATATGTTGTTAAGATTGTGGCTGTCAATGATGAATCCTGATAGTATTTCCAGTTTTCTCAGAATTGCCTCGCTATATCGTTTGAATAAGTCGGGTGAGAAGACATATCCTTGCCTTATGTCCATTTCTATCCGTATGCAAGCCGTTTACTGCCAGTAGAGGTTTTGATTATTGTATTGTCTTTCCCGAATGTGTCAAGGTTTCTATGCAACTCTAACAAAGCTTTGTGGCGTACTTTGTTGAACGCCTTTACGTAGTCTATAAAACACAGGTGCACATCCTTCTGCATTTGCATTGCTCTTTCTGATAATATTCTGAGCTTGAATATTACATTCCTTGCTCCAGTGTCTTTAACGAACCCGCACTATTCTTATCCTATATCTGACCTGACTCTGCTGGGTGCTCTATTCATCAGAATACGGATGATGAGTTTTGTTATGCGGCTCATGAGGTTGATTGTTCGGTGGAGTTCACATTCGTTTGCACCTGGTTTCTTAGGCAGTGCTATGAAAATACATCTACTTACGTCTTACGGTATATCGCCACTGTTGTAGATTTCATTTATTATTTCCTAATCTTGTCTATACCAAAATCATCTAAGGCTCTCAGCATACTGACCCTGCCGCCTTGTTTCTGTTCAATTTGGCTAGTGGAAATTCTACTTCGGTTTTTAGAATTTCAGGCCCGTCGGTATTTCTGTGTATTGCTTGTTGTTCTCTTTCGTCGAAGAGTCCTCCAATATATTCGTTCCAGCGCTGAAGAATTTTTCCTTCTCTATGAGCATTCCATGGATTTTATGCAGCCTGTTGACGAGTATTTCTTCTGTCCTGTTAGTTTCCTTATTTGTTTATGAATATCTCTTTTGTCTGTGATATTCAATCTCTCTATATCTGTACATTTTTCGTTTAGCCATTCTTATTTAACCTGTCTGCATTTGATCCTTATTTAACCTGTCTGCATTTGATCCTTATTTAACCTGTCTGCATTTGATCCTTATTTAACCTGTCTGCATTTGATCCTTATTTTGTTGTGAACTTTTCTGTATTCCGTTCCGTATCTTGACTAAGTTTTCTCTCTCCCTTGAATCATATCGAGAATTTCATCTGTGGTCCATTCGTTTCGTCTTCTTCGTCTATTCTCGTTTCGAATGATCCCGTTTGCTGATGTCAATAAAACTTTTCTTAGTTCGTCCCATTTCGAGATTCATTTCCATTTTGTCCGCCGAATCTTCTTTTGACACTGTCCATTTATGTTTCCTTTAGGTTCGGGTTGAACGATAGTTTGTTGTATTGCAATTTGTCTGCAGCGTTAGGCTTCTTCAGTTTCCGTAGATACACTCTTAGTTTACATATAACAAGGCAATGGTCGATTCCGCAGTCGGTACTAGGGTAGGTTTTGCAGTGAATCATTGCATTCCTCAATCTTATAGTTATGGAATCAGTTTTGCATATAGTTTCTCCTCCTGGGCTTCTCCGTATCCATTATTATCTCGGATGTTCTTGGAACCATGTGTTGGCTGTTCATTTGAAGTGCACCATTGGACCCATTTTTCTCCGCCTTCCTTGCAGATTCCTAGTCCGAATTTGCCAGTTATCTCTTCTGCCTTCTCCCTGTCTACTTTGGCGTCCAGGTCTCCCATGATAATTATGACCTTGTGATTTGCAATGTGCCTTGGAATTTTCCGGCATGGAGTAGAAAGATTCCATTTCTTCTTCCTTTGTTTGTGCTGTCGGTGCATACACTATTATGATAGCTACGTTGAAAGGCTTCCCTTTCTGCTTGACTACAAGAATTCTTTCGGATAATTGGTTGTATCCCAGAACGCATTTCTTGTATTCTTGATCTAGTATTAATCCTACTCCTTTATCGTTTTTCTCTCCGCCTGCATATATAATCCTTGATTGTCACTGACAAAATCTCCGTTGTTTGGACACCTAGTTTCGCATACACCTCAGATGTTAATTTTTGTTTTACATTTTCCAACTGGCCACAGTTGTACAACTTCCTAACGTTCCATGTCCCGATAGTTAATTTTTGTTTTGGGACTTCTAATTCTTTCAGAATCGCCTCGTTGTTTAGGTTGAATAAATCCGGTGAGAAGACACATCCTTGTCTTACGCCCCTTTCTATTTTTCTATATATGGCTAACTCATTTTCTGTTCGTATGCAGGCTGTTTGCTGCTAGTATAGATTCTTTATTAATTTAATGTCTTTCTTGAATATGTCAAGGTTGCTGAGCAGCTCTAACATATTCTTGTGGAGTACTTTATCAAATGTCTTTGCGTAATCTATAAAATACAGGTGAAAACCTGGGGTTAGTGAGAATAAAGGAAAGTGAGAAAAATTTACTTAGAAGGAAAGACAGTAAATAGAACGGTATTGAAGGAAGCAGAAGATGGCGACTGATGTTGCAATTAAATTTTTGAAGATTGTGGTTCAGAGGAAAAAAGAAGCTAGAAGAGTGTTCTACAGGCAAGATGCGTGGGGGGAAAAACATTAGAATGGAACGTACGTTTACGCTTAGAAATTTCAGCACTGAACGAAGAGACCTAACTGCCACTCTAAGCTTAAATTCCCGAGGTCCAGGTACCAAAGAGTAGTAATCATTAGAACAATAGTCATGAAAATATTTATAGAAAAAACACGGGTTAAATACGCTGCAGTCGTGAAAAATTGAGTGAAGCCGAGATGCCATGCCAGGATTTTAACATTGCAGATTCTTTTCTGAATTTTCTCAAGAACCTCTAGATACATTTCAGAAGCACTAGACCAGATATTTCAGCAATATTCAATACATTTTTTAAATTTTATTTATTTATGTATTTATTGTTCAGATTTGACTTGTTTTTTTATTTTATTTTAGGTGTCAAAGTTTCGCTGTCTTCTTCAAACCTAGCAATCGCCGGTATTCGTTTACGCGCCTCACAACATTTTGATCCAATAACGCCAGAAAGTTGCAGCCAAGAACAGTTTTATAATCCACGTTCGCAGCAATGTGTCAACCAAACATGTCCTCGAAAGTTTTGTGATCAGCTCATCACAGAAAATGCCAATACAACGTGCACAGGCCGGGGTGAAGGGGACATCTGTCAAGTGACATGTTTAGATGGGTAAAAAACATTTTATTCTTTCTTGTGACTGCATCGCCAAGCATCCAAGGATGAAATCTTGTGACATCATTTTCTTTCTTTCATTTTATGTGTCGTGTCCTTTCAGGACGTAGGCGATCACTTCCCCCTATCCCTTGTAGCTCTCAATAAGTTTCATTCCTCTGCCACTTTCGTTCTGTCATCCATTTGAATAAGCCCGCCATGTATGTCATGCGTTGCTTTCCCTTGTCTCCCTTTCCCGCTATTCGACCTGTGAGTATCAGATTCTCCAAGCCCTTCTTTCTCACTGCCTCTTTTTCAGCTGCCTCTTCCGAATGTTAAATATAAGCCTCCTCCTTGTTTGCATCCTTTCCAAAATCTAATCGTTGCTCACACGCTAGGTCCATGATATTAATATCGTTCTGTAGAACCATACCTCCGTTGCCTGGGGTCTCTTCTTCATCTTTGGACAGATGTCACGTAGCAGTTTAGTTCTCTTTTCTTTGTTATCAAAGAAATCCTCCTGTTTCGCAAGACCCTGCCCAGCTTTTGGAATGATTCCTTGGCCATCCCAATCCGTCTTTGAATCTCAGCGTCGCACTTACTGTCCAGATATTTAAACTTCCGCATCTGTTGATTTTAGTGTCCCCAAACTGCAAATCGCATTTCGGCCTCATCCTTTTACTGATGACCATAATAATAATAATGTCTTTAATAGCCATTGATTCAAAGGGAGACGCTCATAAGAGTTGCGGAGTCTTTCATGGGTAAAATATTTGTATCCGTATTTTATTAATCTCTTTTCGTGAATCGGTCTTCCAATGTTTTGAAAACCAAAAACCAACTGGTTCAAATACTTGACTATCTCAGGGTGGAAACAATCTCACTGGGGTACTTGATATTCTTGTATTTGATGTTGGAATTCATGGAATTATGAATTATTATTATTATTATATTTCTTATAAATAATTGGCATATTGAAGTAAATAGTAAGATGCGTAAAGGTGTATATCTATCTTGTCAATATCCAGCACTTTGCTAGCAACAAAAGCCAAAAAGCAAAAATCTGAAGAGCGTATACAATTTGATGAATCATTATTTTTTTCAATTTTCCACCACAGAAACACAGCAAAAACGGCACATCACAGCGAGATGTTTGTTAGCACAATATCATTAAAACGCTCTAAATGATACCTGTTAAATAATAATTTTATTTTGTAAAAAATATTTCTTATATACCAAGTGCGGCATATACATTGACACATTATTCATTTTATTCATAAAATAAAAAAAAATATTAGGTTTTGGATTATAGTAGAGGATTCTTAAAATAGTGCATATATTTTCGCTATGATAAATTAATTCCTTTTAATCTATAATTTAAGCCGGCGTTATAATTCGACTTGTGAAGATAAACGACAAATGCATTAAGTGAATTGCTTTATAATATCAAAAGCATACACCGAAATGCAGTAGTCGATCATCTTGCAAGCCGTTGATAGTGCTGTGCATATTGTAGCTTTGTGTCAAATTAAGCTGAGCATCTATCTTATTTTAGAACTTTCGATATTTATTGCCATATATACGGATGTGTTTTGTGGTGAAATGGTTATCGGAGAGCCGAGTTCGAATTCCAGTCGGGTCCATTAAATTCACTTACGCGAAAATACCCCTGGGAAAGATATGAATCTATTTCTTTTCTCCCATCTATGGGTTGAATAAAAGAACGGAAAGCATTCTATGGCCTTGGTTGGCAACCAGTCTGCCGCAGGAAGAAATAGCAGGGAAAATCTTTTGCATAGTCAGCCATGGCTCGAATGAAACATGATTGCCCAGGCGTGTGTCACGGGTGACATTTTACGAACTGTGATACGATTTATATATTTGAGAAATTAGTATACTGATTCAATTTCCGTTTACGGGTGCGTTTCTTTGGTACCATAACACAGCAAAAACGACACATGATAGCGCGATGTTTGTTAGGTCAATGCCATTAAAACGCTCTAGCAAGAAATATAAGGCAATATATTGAATCATATCAATTTGATTAACTTGTTACAATGCTTAGGTGAAGAATTATCGTCATTATATGTGCTGTGATATGGTCTTTGTTCAAAATATCCGAAAATTAGAAAGTTTGTTGTTAAAAAGAGTATCGAAGGAATAGAAGAACAGGTAGAAGAAAACAAAGAGGAGGAGGTTTATCAAATACATATACATAGAACGGAAAAACTTGAATAAATCTACTACTCCTTAAGTCCTACTCTAATGTGGCTACTTGTCATATTTATAAATAAAAACAGTAAGTTGTCACAATAATAGGGAAGAGCAGGCAGTACGCTGAGTCCTACTGTACAACAATATATCTTGCTATTCGAATTAGCATGTTATGCTCACAACCTTTCGACCGTTGATCTCTCCGGCCCTCTTCAGGTGTATTTTTTATTATATAAATTACTATTCTGGCCAGCATGATCACGTCGGTTATTATACTCGTAACGTTTCTGCCTCTGTGCTCTTCAGCCTTCTTCAGGTGTTCCTTTTATTATATTCTTTGCTATTCGGGACAGCAGGCTAATATTAGTTGTTACACTTGCAGGATTACTAAAGTTTGTGAAATTTAGACAGAGTTCTTATATATCATGGCAAAATGGTGACTAGCACAATACGGCATACGAATTAATAGAGATAAAATTTAAGTGGGCTAAATTTAAAATCCAACAGACGTTAGTAGCTTTAGAACAAGAAACACCAACTCTCTGGCCCTCACAATCTGATAATGACTTTTATTAGCTTTTCATCATATCCCATCATTTGTTGTTTTCCTCTGTCCTAACCCTTTCTTTCAATCTGTCCCGTGAGTATTATATTTTCTAAGTCCTCTTTCCTCATTATATGACATAGAAATTTCAACTGTTCGTTTCTGATGTTAAGTATGAATATCTTTTTTGTTTCCATTTTCTCTAAAACTTTATCCTTGATCACATGTTCGGTCCGTGTTATTCTCAGTATGCTTCTGTAGTACAACCTTCTGTAATTTCAAGTTTCTTCAGAATCCACTGCTATATAAGAGTACTGGTATTACTCATTATGTTTATACATTCATCTTTTATTTTCCTGTGTTGAATTAGAACAGAAAAACACGGTTTTGTTTTTTATTCTATCCTAAGGACGCCGACTAAAATGGAAAAAAAAATGCGTCGTTGAACAGCTTTTCAACTTTGTCTTATTATCTTCACATTACTTAATGTATATGCAATAATGTTTGTTCATAATTCGATAAGATACATAAGCAAAGGACATTTGATATGTAATAATTATATATTAAAAGTATATTTAAAATTTAAAGATAAGCGCCCCACTACCTTCAGCGTTTCTCAATATAGAATTATAATCTTTTTTTTGATTTCGTTCTATCCTACTACGTATATAAGATTCCATTGATACAAACATCAATAATCTGAAGAAGTCCTTTTGATGAACGAAACATTTTTTCGCACTTCAGTTTTCCACTACTTTTATATTAATGTTGAAATATTATAAAAATGTTATAAAATAAATAATATAGAATTATATAAAATAATATAAAATTAATATTTTAAACTATTAGCGTATGGCTGGCGAGCAAGTTGAAATGTCATGGCCAGCTGAATTTTGCTGTAGGGGTCGGAATTGGCTGACCTCTGTTCTATAGATTCCGCGTGTTCACCAAAATTTGTTTCTTCAAAAGAATATAAACATAAGTTGAAAAACTTCATCGCCATTGGATTGTATGGAAATAGAACAAAAAGAACAATAGAAAATGTAAGCAAGACGGGATCTCAATGTCGGTTGAGGTGAGAAAGGTCCTGGGAAGAATACATCATCATAGAAAAACAGGTTATTCATTACCTAAATAGGAAGAAGGAAAGAAATAAAACAGAAATATGTAGGGATCAAAAAGAGAAAAACGTATATAAAGTCAAACATGTCATATGAGAGCTTGCGGTTAAAATTTAAAAAATGCCACCCCACCTAATCCTCTCCTGTAAAACACACTTACTATCTATCTATCTATCTATCTATCTATCTATCTATCTATCTATCTATCTATATCTATATCTATATATATATATATATATATATATATATATATATATAAGGGTGTGCTGAAAATTGTCAACCAGACCCAATTTTCAAAATCAGAGCAAATATTAAAATTTCTATAGAAGTATTTCTTAATTTGGTTGGAGACTTTTCAGCAACCCCTCATCTGGCTTACGGCCACATCGGGTTGAAACAGCGGTTCCTGTACGATCACCGAAATTAAGCAACATCAAGCCTGGTCGGTAATAATGTCAAATTTTATTTTGCTTTCACTGAGAATACATGGAAATTATGTTTCTATCATCATCACATGACTTTAGGCAATGTAAGATACATGAACAACGCTGCTCTCCCCAATCATTTCCGTCTATTTCATAATTATGGTAACTTATTAAATTGCTGCAAAAGCCAAATCTTTTAATGGGAAAGGCGATAGATGTAATTTATGCCTTACTGAAAAATAAGTTACCTTAAAATATTTAAATAACCCTAGCTTGTTAAACAAGAGAAATGAATTTAGACCTTTAGACCTAAAAACAAATATTTGCTGAAATACGTTAATCCAGATTAATTTTCAATGTAAATTATAACTTTTCTTTTTCTTAGGTTTTAAATAAAATTATATAAAAAATTGTCAAATAAACAAGTAATTCCCTTTAGGCTTAATATAAAATTAATATTAACAACTTTACAAATTATTATTATTTTTTGTATATAGAATAAAAATCTCGTCTATTTTAAATGCTATAGATAATTTTTAATTAAAAAAAAACTGTAATCCCCGTATTACATAGCCAGCGCCTACATTACGTTAACCAAATATCTTCTTAAAATTTAAATTATGTAACAGTCAATCTACACTCAGCACATGAAGATTGCGTTGTGCATGAAACTCCGAGTTGTGCTATTGGTAAGGAATAATATGTATAGTTATTAATAATTACTTAATAATTCTGATATATTACATCGAATACTGTTTTATTAGCACTAGCACACCATGTGCGATATATATATATATATGTATATCAAATTGTAGGAGAACGAACAGTAAGATTACAGCGTTCAGAACATTAAATTAAAAATAGTGCTCAATGCATAAAGTAGAGCTGTAAATATTTATTTATCTTTTCTTTTCCCCCCTTTTTTTTTCGTGTTTCTTTCCTTTTCGTCCATCCATGACTACCTAATACATTAAATTCCCTTCCATCTCTACATGTAAATTCTAGAAGACATTTTATGAACATTTCCAAAGAACGGAAGTGGGGTATATTTGCTTCTATTCTGAATAGAATTTTTTAGTAACATCATAATTCCCCACCTGAGGAGACGTCTAAAAAGGTTGCCCCTTTTTTGACGTTGAAACGAAAACGTACAATTTTGTAGTGGATATGTGCATGTTCTAATGTAACACTGCATAATGGACTCTTCAGTAGATTTCAACGTATGAATATCAGACAACTTAAGTCAGTTTTTATGTTTGTGTCGTATGTAATACTTCATTCCCGCCAGTGACCTGCATACAAGTCCCCAAATTGTGCAACCGCGAGGATATCGGGAAATAGCCACAGGAATATTTGCTGACGTTTTGCGTCATTGTCTTTCGTCTCTTTACCCTGTCAATACGATTGATTTCGAAATTTCTCATAACACTGGAACAAATATTTCCAATTATTTCTCTTCAGGGCAACGCGCTCGAAGTTAGTGAGATTGACATTGATAGATGAGAAATTACTCTTTAGCTTGTCTTTATACATGAGCCACGCACGTCCAACACTCCTTTGCTCACTGATTAGCTGACAATTAATGAGGATCTTAGATATTCTGACATCACACTCATCTTGTAACAAGAACAACCCAGCGAAGTTGTGACTGTATCAGGAAAGTCTCAATTCCATCAATGTTGTATTTTGTGAGAATATCAACATTGGACACTCTATCGTGAAAATTATAACCACAGATCGCACGGAGACAACGTTTGTGGATGACATGCACCTGACTGATATGGGTCCGACATGAGGTCCTTGATTCTGAACCGTACAGCTGTGTGGTCAAAACGGCTGTTCTATAAACGTCCATTTTGTTGTCCAATTCCATTACCTCTCTCATTCCGTGATTGGAAGAGAAGATTTCCAAAAGAATTTGTAGATTTGGGCGGTCCGATTTGCTATTTCGTCATCTAGGGATGCATTCGCATTCATCTTGCTTCCTAAATATGTAAATGACTTGATATACTTTAAGTTCTTCCCATCAATCTGTATAAGGATGTCTGGGCATTGATGAACTTGTGGGGGTTGTCTGACACCCGTTATCTGCTTTCGACAAGTAGGCGACTGGTGGATTACCTATGTTTTCGTTATGCCAATGGTAAGACCAAAAGCTTTACTTGCAACAGAGAAACGCTTAACGAGTTTGGGGGCTTCTAGGGATGTTGATACACCCACCCACACACACATACACCCACACATGGCACAGGGGATAAAGGCGTTAGTTAGATTCAGTGACAAGACCCAAAGAGTGTGAGTTCAATACTCGGTTAAGACAGTGGACAACTTGGAGAGGGCAATTAATAGGAGATAACTGATAACTGGCATCCATTAAACATGGCACGTGGAACTAGAACAGTCTACCCCAGAGTGAAATAAAGGGTTCAGTTCGACATTCCAACCATCTGAAGAAGGCCGGAGCATACAACGGCCGAAACGTTGTAATAAATATGGCGGCAAAGACGTGAACAATAGTCCGAATAATATAAATAGTATATATATATATATATATATATATATATATATATATATATAAGAAATGGACAAAGTCCGACAATTTATTTATTAAAGACATTTTTATGTTTAACGTTCTTTTTTATAGATACAAGTATTTAAGTAAATGCTCTGTTTATAATAAACAGTATTAAATAACATTTACCGGCCTGAATGTCCGAGAAATTTTCATAGAAAATATTCGTCCTTTGACAGGATTCGAACTTGCATCACTCCGGATCATCAGGTAACACTTCCTCCTACCCCAATATAAAGCATGCTTAAGAGAAATATGAAATTAACCCCTCTCTATAATCTACCTTGTCTCGTTAACTACAACTATCACTCTCCCTGTTAAATTACAAAAATTACACTACCCGTCAATTTCTAATCCCATTTTTCCTTTCATTTCGTTGTTGGAAGTGTTTTACCTGATGATCCGGAGTCCTTCAAAAAGAATTTTGGTGAAATAAATTATTGTAATGGTACTTTAAAGTGGTCTGTTTTTTCATTAAATATTAGCTCTGGATTCACATTGAGCTCTCAGGATTTCAACATACTTGGAATTACCCATTCGGTTTACCAAATTCTTCGTAACTTAATTATATATATATATATATATATATATATATATATATATATATATATGTACTTACTTTAAATAATCTGCAAAGGGTTGATGAGCCGTAGAAAACAAATCAATGAATATAAATAAAATCCTACGTATATTTTTATTTAACACCTTTCCTAGCGAACAAAGATACGATGCGTAATATCTACTCCCCACACTTTCACATTGGCGGGATATGGCACAAAGCCGGTTTAAATTTTAGAGTCCAACTAAATGCATATGGGCCAAGCTAAAAAAAATGTCCAGTCTCCAAAGCCATCGTGATGACTTTGATATTCCACCAACCCTCTTTGGTGCAATGAGGGAGGTGCTACTGTAGGGTTGGAAGAAAAACAGATAAAAATGTAGATTGTCCACCCAAAGGCAGATACTACACTTAGTATTTATTTGCCGCCCCTTACGCTGGTCGGATATGACACAAGGTCAGTTTATTTTGCGGAGCTTGAGGGCGTGTACCTGAGTCAGGTCCAAACGTTGCCTAAGTAACCGTCGGTTTAGTGCAATGAAGACAGAGACACAACTGAAAGATAAAATGTAATTTATCCGCCCGAGGACAGTTACTACACTTTGATCCTAGGCAGAGCTCACAGAGATTGCATTGTTCTCGGTGAGATTTATTCTGAAATCATCAGGCGATCATGACTCCACCGTCTCTGAATTATTTTAACATTCTTCATGAATAATTCAATTCTATTGCATAAAACATCCTCCATGTTTGTCTTGTTGCATTGCACTAAATTCAGACTTATTCTGAAATAATCTTACTGGATATTGATTTGTTCAATCTTCTATCTGAAAGTTAACATAAAAACAAATAGGAAACGTTTATCAATCTATCATGTTTCACTTTTATTAAAACTTCATTAGAGAGTGGGATATTGAGAGAAATAAATAAAAGTCCTGTTACTTTTACTTTTGTGATGTTTGATTTTCATTGATTAATCATGTTTCCCGTGCATTCGACTTGTTAAACAAACGTTCGTATAACAGGAATAATTCATACGAAACATGATTTATCAATGAAAATCAAACAAGAAGAAATTAAAAATAACAACATTTATTTATTTTTCTCTCTCCATATCTTTTTCTCTGACGAAGCTTTAACAAAATTGAAACATGTTAGTCTGATAAATGTTCCTATTTGTTCTTTATCGTTCTGTCGGATTCCCAACCATATTTAATTTATATCTGACTCCAAATTATGGGAACGCTGTATAATTTCGATTTTTCAGTTGAATTCTAAGTTGCCCCCAAATCAAATGGAATATGTTGGTATTTTAAATAATAATTTTATATTATTTTCCCTTCTGTATTATTATGTATGAAGTGTCCTTTCCTTAGGTATCTTATTTAAGTGTGAAAAAAATGAAAGACAGTGATAGTTCACCGTAACACACTTAAACGCAATTTCAACCAGTCTGATTAGAAGAGAAAAGAATTCATGAAGATAAAATGTATTGAAAGTGCACTGATCTCGTAATTCATTCCGATCAACCGGGTTCATACAATATCACTGATTTTTGAAAAAACAACAGTAGCATGATGCGGTATACGATCTAAGAGAGAAAAAAACGGAGATCGACTCGGAGTCAGCTAAATTTAAAATCCAACAGACATTAACGGTTTCAATAATAATAATAATAAAAAACTTTCTGATTGTAGTATCTGATCAGCTTATTTATTACCGCTTCCTTAAAAATCCCAATGACTTTTTTATACAGAGGGTTTGTCCCTCATTCCTGTTGTGGCCTGTTTAGGGGCCAGAAAGAAAGACATGGAAGTCGAAGGGAGGTTGAAAAAAGTATATTGAAGATATATACAAAACAATAGTGTTAGTAATAAGTACATTAGCACTGCGTTTACTACTCTGCGCTTTGTGCTCTCCGACTCTTGCAGTTTGTATTTATGAGAGAAGGAAGAGTTCATTATACTGTAAGAGGGTTTACCACAACAATTCCGACCTGATTACGCCTGTTATAAAAAGGTAAAACGCGTTGTTTGAACAAATTTTTCTACTTTGTCTCATTATCTCTCCATGATATATTAAATCGTTATTTTTTTTTTAAATAAATATAAAATAGTAAAATCCTTTGGAAAAATTTCTGATTCTTTTTGTTTTCTTCATAGATATCGCATCCGGAATGAGATTGACGAAGTGATTTGTGCAGACGGTGTTTGGCGAAGGTCAAAGGAGGTTTCATGTATACCAGTCGATTGCCGATGGCCGGCCATGGTACATGCAACATTCATCTGCCCTAACGGGACTACGTTTAAGCAAACTTGTTCCTTCAGATGCAACCCGCCAGCACAATTACAAGGTAAGTCTCATGTCTATTCCTGACATTTTATCGTAAATACGTATGTGTTTATTTTTAATCTGGCAATGTCAGAATACGCCACGTGGTCTGTTTTAAATATGGAAATATCCCTAAGCTCACTTGAGAGATCTTATGACCAAAAGTAATTTATTAACCAATGCCGCTCTGACCCCAAATTTTCATGACGTACCTTCAGAAAGGCCCCGTGTCATGAGTGCTTATTCGGACTTAAACTCAACTAAGACCTCAAGTGGAATTCGTACATCCGATCCATTTGGGAAAATGATCGGTTGTCTCTACGGCTCCTGCAAGTACCTAACTCTTCCTGATATCCTTTACTTTTACAAGAACCAGATAAAGCTAAAAATGGAATACTGCTGATGTATATAGGCAGGAGCTGCACAGTCTTCCCTTTCGATATAGTCTAAAAGTTTCTCTGCGTCCTTGTAGATGACGAATTATTTTCCACCCGACACCACCTTTTCCTCACAGACGAGATGTCGTGAGACACTCGCTGCTCTATCGCTATTCCCATTGAAAGAGGTCAGAATTACACTCCTTCGTTACATCAGTCCTAACCTTCATGGCTAATACCGGCTCTGCCACACCCATTGAACCACTCTCATTCGGATTCAACTGGTGGCATGTAAACTCCACTCGAACAGCTTCTCACGGACCGGTGCTTTGTGGATCCGACTCTCGAGAGGACGTTTTCCCGAACACGAAGATCTTATTTACATTATTTGGACTATTATCCTCATCTTCATTGCCCTATTCACAAAGTTTCGGTCGTTGTACACTCCGGCCTTCTTCATGTGATTGGAAGGACACATGGACCAGTGCATAAAGGCTTTGGTTAGAACCAGTGACTAGATCCAAAGAGTTGTGAGTTCAATACCAAACTACGGCAGTGGTGAACCAAAATACTTAGTGAGTTTAGTTAAAAAGGAAATAACTAAGACATCCTGAAGAGGCGTGACACGTGGAACTAGAACAATCTACCTCGGTGGACGAAATAAAGGGTTCGATTTGAAATTCCAATTACCTAAAGTAGGCGGGGCGTACAACATAAATATGGCATTGAAGATGAGGATAATAGTCCAAATAATGTAAATAATCATAATACATCATCGCAGAGATATAACCAAATACAAAGATCTTAACCTGTTTAAATCTAAGGTTAACCGTTATCGTCTACACATATCTGGATAAGCTATGCCTCTTACTCTATAACCATCTACTCCGGTTGGCCTTCGAGGCTTGTACAGCATGGACATGATTATAAAAAATGCAATGTCAATCGTCATCTTTCAACGTCTTCATTCTTTTATTTATTTATTTTCTCTTTTCACTTCTTTTTCTCATAGTTTTTCGTACTAGTAACACCTTGCACTGTAATAGCTTTAAAATAGGTTATGCAGAAAAAAAAAGTTGTTTTCCAACTCACACCATGAGGCATTGACATATACATCTGATTCTAAACAATTTAGTGCAATGGGAAATGCTGTCTATGGAACTAACCCCCAGTAAGAAAGCATCAGCTATATTTTTGGCTTGCCTCTTCTGAAGAGTGCCAATAGCAATAACCATTTTTAAGACTTAGGCAGCATTAGGATGACGATATTATGTTCTTCGATAAAGAAATGAATTTATTAATTTCGCAGCTCTAAAAGAAAAGAATGAAGCAAAAGCTTTTAGCGTTTTTATCTAAAACAATATATTGTAAAATACTGCACCAAAGAAAAGGGGAGAAAATATATTATTCCTTAGATACATCAGCCTCGCTCTACATTATAGAGTTAAGAATTTGCCGTATTTTTGTTTTCGAGAAGATAAAAAATCATGGTGGAATTATTTATATTTGGAATACTTGGAATCTTTGTTCTACCATTTCTCACTTTCGCTTGTTCGCCTATATTTTAAGTTCTCTTATATCTATCTATCTATCTATCTATCTATCTATCTATCTATCTATCTATCTATCTATCTATCAGGGACGAAAGACAATGGCGAACAGCGTCAGTAAATATTCCTGTTGCTATGTCACGAGATCATCGCTGTTGCACAATATGGAGACTTGTTTGCAGATTACTAGCAGAAATGAAGTGTCACGTAGGACACAAACATGAAAACTGAGTGTGGTTGTCGGATCTTCATGCGTCAAAATTAACGGGAGAGTCCATCATATGTATATAATAAAATAGGATAAAATATAAAAAAAAATCACTGCAGGAAAACAACCAACAGACCACCCGAAAAAATCAAACTCACATGTAACTGCAGAACAAAGAACGAATGTCCCTTAAATGACAATTTCTTGTAGAACAATGTAATATACCAATCTAATATAAATATAGTAGATAATAAAGAAAAATATACATATGAGTAACTGACGGACCCTGGAAACAAAGAAACTTCGCACACAAAACATCCTTTACAAATAATAATTACGCAAACTGCACAATGCTTTCTAAATATATCTGGGAGATCAAAAAACCAAAACCAAATCACATCAAAAATATCATGGAAATTAAGGAAAACAGCATCAGCTTACAACAATAAATCTAAAAACTGTAAACTCCGCCTGGAGGAGAAAATAGCTATAATTAACTTCGCAAACTACTAAACAAAAGACCAGAACTCATCTCAAAAAGCAAACATGAAAACAATTTTTTACTACGTTACTTAAAATTGAAAACTGAAAACGAACAAGAATAAAAAAAAATAAATAAATAATAAAATAAAATAAACAAAACCAAATAAAATAAATTAATCAAAACAAATAAATAAGTAAATAAACTAGATAAATAATAAACAAATCAACAAACCAGGAATGCACACATAAATACAGGCGAGCGTAATAATAACAACCAACAATATAACAATCAATAAACAATAAGTTAACAAACAACCATGAAACTGCATCCGGATCCACAATTATTCCCACTCACTAGCTCATAGAATAATTCGAAACACAACCGTTACCGCAACCAAAATAAGCGTTCGAATAATACAATAGGCTACCCACAATGTATCACTGACCTGTATATATAAACAGTTGAGCCGAAACCCACTGCATATGGCCTGACGATTGTGTTTAGCATGAAACAGAATGCCGCATTGACTTCAATATCCACTTTTATATTTGCATATGCTCTATCCCTGATATTGAGCACTTTAACCCATAAATATAATATATATTAACCGAAAAGCAAAAGGCGTTGGTTCCACCAACCGTTAATTTACCAAAAGATCTAAATAGCCTTAAACAAGGTACCATCTCGAACAAGTTCAGCAATAAGAAAAGAAGAGAAAGACCTAAAGGCAAAAATCTGCCTAACTCAGTAAAGTGCTCATTGCCTAGATGTTATAGAGGAATAACGTGTCGCTGTCGACACTGTATTTTGAACATAGCTCGCCAGTGAGCAAACACGAGCGATTCCATTATTGAATTAAGTAGATCCCGTGGCCATAAAGGAAATGCATAAATAGAAATGGATGGAGAAACCATTCGCAGAGATCCAGGCTCTGGCACACAACCACAACAGATGGGGGAGACTGCTGGTCAGCTCAGCATGTCGACGCCCTAAGGACTTCTTCCAGTGTTAAGGGCGAAAGAAGAAGAATCCTATAGTGGTAGTTGAAATTATTGATACATAACGAGGAAAGTCCGTTTAGAGAAAATAACACTTATAAGGCCTATTGAAAACAAAAAAAAAATCAAAAGCTACTTAAGTTTAAGTAAACCGATGGAGAAGCAAATATTACAAACATAGTGATTGTTAAAGGGGAAATTACTGCCTTTTTACGCTATTACTCAACCAAAACAAAGACTAAGAATCGCTCAAGGTAGAGTGTCAGACAATGAGGGCGTTGTTAGGGCGTAAGAGGAGGAGTTAAGACATGTATATTATGAGGATATGCAGGATAGATAACCGTTGATTCTGGACTTGTAATGGTTAAAATTGCAGTCATCGGAGAAGCTTTATTCCCTTCTGTATTTTGAATGTCGAAAGAAAATCCCACACGGGCAGCTTTTTTTCTAAATAACTGCCAGTTTGTGGAGCCCACATATACTACATCTACCACGCCTATTACAACCTTAACCTATTCAAGTCCAAGGTTAATCCTTGTTTATCCTTCTTATCCTCGTAATCCTCACTTGATTCTACTTATGTATGTTCTTACAAAGCGTGCATGTTGCGAGCTTTTGTATTAATTGGCGATACAAAACCTAGTCTCTACCTGGTTCCTATCGAAATTATATTTTATCCTATTTTATTCTTATTACTATTGTATTTATCAATGTAGGCATTAAGAATAGCGAACATCAGCTATGATGAATGAATATTTTATAAATATTAGTTGATTATTTTTTGTCTTAAGATCACGAACAGAAGTCATCAAACGTGTGGGTTACCGCAATTGGCTTTGCCAAATACGCGTTAGAGTGTTCTGATAACTTCAACACTGTTATTAACATCGAAGCAACACCGACACGTTAAGTACAAAATTACAACGGTAATGTGCCAAGGAAAGGCATGAACCCATCTGTTTTCTGTGATACTTAAATATGCAATCTATGTGCTTAAATATGTGATCTGCCTTAAAGAAAATAATCTGCATGCGCAACTTTATTTAAAAGTAGCAGCTAAGAAGCACACAGCGAATGAAAGCTTCCGGTGGATTTTCTATAGAAACCAGACGTATATTTTAAAAATTACTATTCCCAACCTTCTTTCCAAAAGTCAACATGGTTTCAAACGAATTAAGAAAGTATATCTATATTTAATGTAGATTTTAATGCAGAGAATTTTTTTTAACTCAGTGATCATATATTTTTAGTGATGTGTTGTTCTGGTAAATCAGACTCGGAAGGAAGATCATATACAAATCTAATTTCTTTTTCGTTCATACCACACACGCCATCCATCGTTATCATTTTAAAATTAACCCTCTGCCTTGAGTGGCTCTTGAGCCTTGTAGTCATTGAATTTTAGTATAAAAAGATAGGTTGCTTATTGCGTCAAATATCTGTGTTCGATGAAACGAACATTAAATTTGCGGAATGCCTGCACCCGGAAAATTTTCATTAAAGCGCTACAAAGCTCAAGAATGACTGAGTTTGGTGTCGTCTGCTGATTACGTCACTCTTCAAAAACGGGACGTGGGAAAATACAACTTTGGGTTCAAAATAATCAATAATTGCATAAATTTTGAAGTTTCTTCAATTACCTTACATACGAGGAATAATTTTTTCCGTTAAGTTCACGGCTATCAATTCACCCGCCAAGAAAGTTCAAATCGAGGAAAGAGGTAAAAGGATAGCAATTAAACAATTTTATAATAGGTCTGTATATTCAAGCAAAACAAAAACCGTTGATGGATCCAACGGATATCTTGCCAAAATCTAAAACTATTATTTAGATAAAGTCTCGAATAAATTAGACAATATTGAAAAAAAAAAGTGAAAAAAAAGGCTTAAAGGCAAACATCAGTAAAGTGCTCGATCCTAGATTGCCTAGATCGAGAAAAAATCGATTAACAACGTTAAATCCTGTGAAAGGATAGCCCTAGCCTTAACCCGAGTTTCACGCTCACGCAATCTTCAGACGACTTGATTTCTAAAATTATTACTTGTAAAATCTAACGAATTTATACTGTGAAGTTTCCGCTCAGTGAACTTTCCTCGCAATGAACGTTCCGAGCGTCGCGGTGAACTTTCCTCGCGGTGAATTGATGGCAGTGAAGTTACCTGTAAACGGAAAACTTACTGTAATATTTTTACCTTTGTGAAAAGGCTATGGCAGGTTGAACGCTGAAGTTGAGAAAGTCACTATACTGATTCATCTACGTGAGGAGATGAGTGACCTTTACGCTACAGTAGTCGCCCATCTCTGCTCATATTAAGTTTAGCATAGTTTGGTATACAGTAAAATAGGGAGAAAAGCGCGGGAGGCTGAGAGTGTGCTGCGCCAGGCTTGTAAGAGGAAGAGTGGCAATTTTCGTAATTCTTGTCTGCCAGAAGTCATCTTTTAATTTCACTGCCCATGGCGGTTATTTATTTATTTATTTTCTGCTCATCTCTGGTTTGAGTTGGTTGGGAAATATCCGGACCATTTTTTTTTAATTAATGGAATTTCCGATTTTTGATTTTAGTCTTGCTTAGACTTTTGTCAATTATCAGGATTGAAGAATCGATTGACATTGTCTCAAGGTTCCTTAATGAAAGAATCATTAGCAAAGGTTTTGTTATGTGTGTTGACGAAAATTCGGTGAAGGAAAAAAAGAGATAGAATGAAGAAAGACAAACAAAGAAAAGCAGAAAAATGAAGGAAAAAAAGATGTTAAGAGAGGATGAAAGAGTAAGTCAAATAAATTGAAAGAAGTAGAAGAAGAGGAAGAAAAAGAGAAGGATACAGAAATGTAGACAGAGGTGGGGGATGAAAAAAGGAGGAGAAGGAGAAGAAGAGAAGGAAGCGGAATAGGATGATAAGAAGTGAAAAGAGAACTAAAAGAGGCGTTTTAGAGGATAAAGAAGAAGGTGGAGGAGAAAGAATAAGGAAAAAGAGAAGAAAAAGAAGTAAAAGAGAGGGAAGATGAGGAAAGTAATAAGAAGGGGGGTGAGCAGGAAAAAAGAAAGAAGTGCATAACGTAGAAGTAAAATTATTTGAAAGATGTGATTTTAGAAGACGTGAAAGCTAAAAAAGAGGAAGAAGGAGGAGGGGGGTGTGGGGTGAAAAAGAAGAGTGTAATAATATTACATCATACTTATTATAAAACCCAAGTTGTGTGTGTGTGTGTGTCTGTTCGTTTATATATTGGATCGGATTTCCTACATTTTTCAACCGATTTCAACAAAACTTCACAGGACTACGTAAAACTACCTTGCGGTGGTTCTGACAGTGCCAAAAATTGGAAAAACACAATTGTTTTTGCACGAAATCAGTTTGAAAACACGATTAAGAGGCATCGCGAAAATGAAAGGGGGACAACTCATATCGAGATATACTTATTATAAAACCCAGGTTGTTTATATGTGCGCGCGCGCGCGTGTGTGTGTTTTCGTTTATATATGGGGTCGGATTTCCTACATTTTTCAACCGATTTCAACAAAACTTCACTTTTGGGGGCAGGTAGTGTTTCTTATTGTCTTGCACACTTTTTTTCTTTATTTTTACATTCAGAATGCTTTAAAAATTCCATTTACAAGACAATTGTTTATAATAAAATTCTATTCAATCGGTAGAGACTCATAACGATTGAAAACAATCTTTTTATTTGAGTTTGGGTTTGACCAATTCGTAAAAAAAAAAAAAAAAAAAAAAAAATAATTAAGACATGCATGTCCGTCAACCTTAAACAATAATCTTTGGCAATTTTATTTTTCAGTCTTTATGATGGTCGATACTTGATCTATCTCTTACTGTTACATCCCCGGGCAACGCCGGGCTCTACTGCTAGTGCATACTAAATAATAAGAAAACAGTAGAAGAAAAATGCAATGATGCTGATGATGCTGGTCAGGATGCTCTTGAAGATGATGATGATTATGCTGCTGTTGTTAATGGTGTTTCTGCTGCTGGTGATGATGATGATGTGTTGATGATGATTAAAAAGAAAGAGAAGGATAGAAAGATATGAGATCTAGAAGTGAATGAATAAGAACCAAAAGGAAACAAAAATTGAATAAAAACAATTGGATGATGTAACAGAAGAGAAAATTTAAAAAAAAAAAAAGATTAAAGAAAGCAAGATGAAGACAAGTAAAGATGGGGAAAGCTTAAATAATTTCCATATATGGATTCGATTTGGCTTGAGCAACGAAAGGGATGTGTTTAAAATTGAGTCACGCGTGACACTTGTTTAAAATATTCAAGACTTTTTTCGATTATATTTTCATTTTCAAATTAATTCAGTAATGACCGAAAGAAAAACTCCCCGAAAATGGGACGATGGGATTTATTGCTTTGAAAGTGTGTTTTTTTTTCTTTTTTTATTATTTTTATACGTTTCATGAGACTTGGACAGAAGATGAAATGACGGATAGAAGCGCGTTAAGGCGAACGGCCATCAACAAACCACGAAAACACATAATGCACACGCACAATCCTATCAGCACCCCCACACACACATACATACATACATAGATAGAACACACATTTTGATAATACTTGAAGAAACCAAAAACTCTCAGAAGAAGAATTTATATTTAATTTCTTCCTGGGAACCAGAATAATGTTCACAAGCGTAGAAAAATTAAATGAAAATCTGCACCAATATATATATATATAAACAAACAGAAACACTTAAACACATAGACATGTATATACATATGCGCAAGCTCAA